TCGAGCCATAAGACAAACCTGGGCAGATTTAAATTATAGAAATCATATAGCATGTGTTCTCTGACCACAATGGAATACACCGGAAATCAACAACAGAAAGATAACAGGAAAATCTCCAAGCACCGGGCCACTAAGCAGCACTCTGCTGAATAACCCAGGGGTCAAAGAGGAAACGTCCATTGTGACCAAAACATACAATGAATGAATGAAAGTGAAGACACAACTGACCTGGTGCTTTAGTGGAACTTTATGGCCCCAAGTGTTTGTATTAGAAAAGCGAGAATCTCAAATAAATAATCTAAACTCCAACCTCAATAATCTGGTCAAAAAAGCTTAATAAACCCAAAGCAAGCAGAAAGAAGGACATAATGAAGAAAAGGGAAGAAATCAATGAAATTGGGACAGAAAAATAATAGTCCATTTTTAAAAAAGCATGTTCTTTACTAAGATCAAAAAATTGATCTTTAGAATCTCCACAAAGATTGAAAAAGGGAAATGAGAAAAGATACAAATGTTCCTATCAGGATACAACTACAGGCCCTGCCGCTCTCAGAAGGACACGGCGGGAGTCCTGTGACTAACTCCATTCACATAAATTCATTCACTTAGAGCAAATGGACCAACCCCTCGAAGAACACAAACTACCACAACTCACCAAATATGAAGTGGGTCATTTGAATAACACATAACTATTAAGTGGACAGAATTTGTCATTTTAAAACTCCTAGAAAGAAGTCTCCGGGTCCTGGTGGCTTCACTGAAGAATTCTACCTAATGTTTACAGAAGAATTAAAGCCAGTGTTACACAACCTTTTCCAGGAAATAGTAGAGGCGGGAAAACTTCCCAGTTAATTTTATGAAGCTAAGTATTACCCTGACAGCAAAACCAGACAAAGACAGGACAGAAACAAACAAAAACTACACAGCAATATTCCTCATGAATGTAGGTGTGAAACCCTTCCCAAAATATTAGCATATACATTCTGCAGCATTAAAAGAATCAGGCACCTTAACCCAAGGCCCCAGTGATGCGTGAATGGGATCCACCATGTGAACGGAGTAAATAAGAAAAGTCACAGGATTCTATCAATTTATGTAGAAAAGGCTTCAACAAAAGTCCACATTTATTCATGATAAAATCTCTCAGAAAACAGAAATGGAGAGAAAGCTTCTCAACTTGATGAAGAGCCTCTACACAGCACCCACAGTCAACGCCTCACTTAACGATGAAAAACAAAGAACCCCTCCTCCCGAAGAGGGGGAGCGAGGCAAAGATGTCACTCTTATTCAACATCAAACCGAAAATTCCAACCAGTGAGGTAAAGCAAGAAAAGAAATACAAGACCTACATGTAGGAAAGAAAGAAACGAAAGTGTCCCTGTTTTCAGATGGCATGATTGTCTGCCTAAAAAATCCCAAGAAATGGACAACAAAACCTTCTAGAACTCATGAGGAGCTCAGCAAAGTCGTCGGATACCAGAGCAACAAAGACACATCAATTCTCCTCTATTGACTAGTGATGAACAACTGGAAACCAAAATTAAAAATACAATGCCATCTTGGCTGCCACGTGATTAGAGCATTGGCCCATGCGCTGAAGGGCCTCGGGTTAGATTCCCAGTCAAAAGCACATACCTCAGTTGCAGGTTTGATCCCCAGGCCCTGGTCAGGGTGTGTGCACAAGGCAACCTCTCACACATCAATGTTTCTCTTTCTCTTTCTCTCTCCCCCTGCCCAGTCCTCCCTCCCTTCCACTCTTTCTAAAAAATAAAATCAATGGAAAAAAAATATCCTCAAGTGAGGATTCCAAAAAAAAAGTTTCTCTGTCCTGCCAGGGTAGCTCAGTGGTTGAGCATTGACCCATGAACCAGGAGATCACAGTTCAATTCCCGGTCAGCGCACATGCCTGGATTTTGGGCTCGATCCTAGCATGGGGCATGGATGAGGCAGCCGATCGATGATTCTCTCTCTTTAGTGTTTCTATCTCTCTCTCCCTCTCCCTTTCCTCTCTCTGAAATCAATAAAAACATATTTTAAAAATGTATATGTTAAAAACAAAATTAAACTAAAAAAACAGACCCACACAAATATGCCCAACTAATTTTAAACAAAGCTACAAAAGCAATTGAGTAAGGAGAATACAAACTTTTCAACAAATAGTGTTGGAGTAATTGACATCCATGGACAAAAAAAAAAATATTGCTCTCAACCTAAACCTCACACCTTACTTCTACAGAAATTAACTCAAAATGTAAAACATGCTTAAATGTAAAATGTAAAATTATAAGGCTCTAGGAAAAAATGTAGGAGAAAATCTTCAGGATGTAGGACACAGGAAAGAGATCTTAGCCTTAACGCCAAAAGCATGAATCATATGGGGAAAATGGGTAAATTGGACCTCATCAAATTAAAGTATTTGTTCTATGAAAGTGTTGGCTTTTAGGAGGATGGAAACACCAGCAGCAGACCAGGAAAAAAATATTTGCAAACCTCACATCTGACGAAGGACCCATACCCAGAATACATAAAGAACTATGAAAACTTAACATTAAAAAATTTCAACAACAATCCAATCAGAAAATGAGCCAAAGACACGGAAAGACCTACTGCCAAGAAGACATGCCAGCGCCTGGACAGAGCTCAATGTCATCAGCCACCGAGAAGTGCAAGTGAAACCACGGTGAGGTGTGCCGCACCTCTCGGATGGCAAACGTCACCACGTGCAGTGAGGGTGTGGGTGCAGGCACATGGCGGGTGAGCGCATAGGGAAGCAGACAGCCATTCTGCAGAAAATTGGGCAGTTTCTTTTCCAAAATGATACGTGCAACTACCACTCCACCCGGAATGGCACTCAGGGGCATTCGTCCACAGAAATGAAAACTCCCATCCTCACAGCAGCCCAGACACGAGTGTTCAGAGCACCTTTATGTGTAGCCACCAAAACTGGCCCAAGCGCAGATGTCCACCAGCAGAGGGTTTTCAACCACGGTCGTGCGCCCATTACAGAGAATGTTACTTAGCAATAAACAGGGGGACTCCCAAGACAGGGAACAATTTGAGTGACTCTCCAGAGAATTGTGCTGAGTGAAAAAAATCAGTCCCAAAGCCACAATGTCACTGTATGGTTCCATTCATATAACATTCTTTTTAAATTTTTTTATTTTTCCATTACAGTCTACTTTCAGTTTCAGGTGTGCAGCATAATGAGTTTTTTCACTCAGCACACTTCTCTGGCGCTGTGCATAGTTATCACAGTGTTACTATGTTCCTAGCCCAGCGGTCGCCAACCTTTCGGACCTCAGGGACCACCGGTTGGCAACCGCTGCCCTAGGCTGTACTTTACATCCCCATGACTGTCGACAACGTTCTTGAAATGGGAATGGAGCACAGGAGAGTGGTTACCAGGGGTGAAGAGGAGGGAAGTGAATGTGGCCATGAGGGGTCCTGTGGTGACAGAAATGGCCCGTGCCTCAACTGCATCCATGTCCATCCCCGGGCTGTGATTTTTAGAATGCCACGGTGGGGGGAAAGTGGGTCCAAAGCACATGGGACCGCTCTGTATTTCTTACAACTGCATGTGAATCTACCATGATCTCAAAACAAACAGGCTCTTTTATAAAAATAATGATAGTAAATAAATAGCCAAAGAGAGAATTGAAATGGGAACAAGTTGAAATGAGTCGATGTTACTTGATGGAGCATCTATTGTTTCCCTAACGCACGTCCCCAGCCCTGAGCACCACAAGGCTACCCTTGGAGAATCAGACTCAACATGCAGCGTTTTCCTTGGCTTCGTTTTCTGTGTATCAACTCACTTCTCCTTATGGACCTCTATATTCAAAGGGCATCCTACATCACTACGGGACAAGAAAAAGCCACACCGCTGCTATGGCTACACGGTGGTCATAACGAAACTACAACTAAAGCTCTGCAGACCTGCCAAGGCCTCTCGCTCGGTTACAAGACAAAGCAGAACAAAAGGCTTCTGATGGGCTCTGCAGAAATCCCTGCACATGACTGTTCCAGGGAGCTCAGTCGTCATTTAGATCTTTGGGGGTGACCCTGCTCCTCTATGCCCACCTTTCACCCCAACTTCCCAGTCAAAAGGTAACCTTCATCTGTTAGCTTTCTCTGAATCTTCCCACAGCCCCGTGACTCCTGCTGAACCTAAACACTTGCTCTAATGTTAATATTAGCCTTGTGATCCTAAATGATTGATCTTTCCAGGGGCAATAGAATTAGGGCGGTTAAAAGGCGCATTATTTTAAACCAGCCCTGACGTTGGTTCTGCAGTTCCCAGTCCGCTGATGTTATCACTTTCTTAAGTTGCATCCTGTTCCCTGTGGCGCTGGGGCAGATAGCATCTCTGCTTTCATTATTACAGAAAGATTTGCTACGGGAACGGAGACCCATGTCACCTCCCAGAACATGGGCTCCAGGGCATATCTGACAGACCTCCAGCTCTTAGCTATTTTGGATGATGGGAAACCAAATACGTGTATAAATACATGGTCCAGAGTCCATGGTCCCTTGTAAATCTCATTGAAAAATGTTCCCCCTGGAACTGCTATAAATACATTGCCATCAAAGACCTTGATATTTAGATCTACTGTACACCGTGTTTTCCAAGTTCGCGGGCTAATGTGGCTGATGTTTCTACTCCATTCACACCTTTGTGAGCAGGTCCATCAGCGCCAAGGACAACGCTGCTTAGAAAGCAGCAGACTGTCTCTGCGCTCGCCTCTGTCCGACAACGCGGATGGTGGACCTGCTTCCTGACAGCCATTATGAATCACAGTAAATATTTTGACAAAAGCAACAGTGGGGTTAAGCACACAAGAGAATTACTAAACTGGGTCAGACCCAGTTTTATGTGGCCTTTTCTTTAGCACTGCATGCTCGAAGATAAATATATCATTAAGAATACAGGGTTAAAAAAATCACTTTTTTTTCTTAACTGACATCTTCTGGATGCCTATCACTCACAGCACGTTACATACCTTCACGAAGAGGGATGAATTTTCAGCCGGCGATGCTCAGATTCAAACACAGATGGCCTGGCCTGAAACTGGGGAAACATCAACAGGTGGCTGGCCGCCCACCTGTGCAGCGAGTTCACGCCTCTTAGCTGAGAAGGTGTCGGCGGCATCCTCTGCTGTCCCTATCTGCAGGCTGTGTCTCAGAGGACAGAGAGGCAGGCCCTGCGTCTTAGAAGATAAAAGAAAAGAGTTTGGCCTCCCATTGCTCTGCCTTTGAGTCAACTCGGTGTCTAACCGAGAAAAAGCACCTTTGGAGCAACCTGGGGGAGACTCAGACAGAGATGAAACTTGAACTGACTCCGAAATAGGAAGTAAATGATTGTCTATACATTTCTTAGTGTCACGGTAGCAACCCGTCAAAAACAGGAAGAGACAGGCGCAAAGAAGGAAAACACTAGAGCTACAGCTCATGATGTAGTGACTATCGGTCAGACAGCCCTAAGACAGACTGCCACCTGGGATGGAGGTGCAGCCGCCCTTACACTACAGATGAGGGCTCGTGCAGGCTGAGGGTTGGGGCCAGCGGGGCCATCTCCTGGCTGTGGGGTTGGAAGAGGCATCTGCCTGGAGCTTCCTGGGCCCAGAAGGGGCATCGAACTTGAACTCGCTTCAGGTGCTGATGGTGGAGGCCTTGCAGGGATCTCTGTGATGTGCCTCTACTCAAAATTTTGATATTTGGTTAATAGGGGAGTGTTTGCATTAATTTTTATTTTGAAGATATTGCACTAAAATCTTATCTTGATGGCTGACTTTCGAGTGCCCCTTGAGTTCTGCACCCACGGTGAGCTGCTCTCTCTCCCCACCCGAGTGCTGGCCCTGCTCTCTGTGACTTTAGAAGGAGCCAACACAGGGGTGATGGAGGGTGAAAAATTCAATGATTCTAAGTGGTGGAAGCTGAGAGGCAAGCAGGTCTCTAACTCAGAACAGGAGCTAATGGCGAGAAGCACATTTGGGTCAAGAGGGCCAACCAGATGGGAAGCCAGCCGCGCGGAGTGGCTGTGTGTCAGCTCCTTCAAGTCCCTCCCGAGGCTCTGAAAGGGGCTGTTTTGTGATGTTTTTCCACTGGGAGAGAGGCGTCCTCACCCCACTGTGCCATCCATGATTCCCAGCTGGCCATGCACCTCAGCCTCATGTTAGCCAGATTGGGTTTGGAGGGATTTCATGTGGCCAGGTGAGCTGGGCTTTGAACCAAATTATGCAGATTTCTGTGGCTTCAACTCCTGGTACCTCCACATCCGTGAGCAGGCACCTCGCTGGCGTGCCAGAAGCCACAGGGGGTGTGCAACTGAGAATGGGAGAAGGACAGGTGCACAGCCAGCTGCTGTCAACTCCAGCATCCCTTCCCCTCCCCAGGACCCCCAGAACCCACAGCCAAGGAGTGAATGCCTGCCAGGCACTGACCCCAGCATCCATCCCAATATTAAGTATTGTAAGAGCCCCCCCCCCCCCCCCCC